CTGCCAGCTGCCGAGAACGGTTTGGGGGCGGTCCAAAATGCCTAATGTTGCTGGCTGGCCTGCCAGCTGCCGAGAAGGGTTTGAGGGCTCAGTTCTAAGGCTGCAGTGCACGGGCTGCACGTTCCAGAGGCTCCCTCCCCAGGCTTTCGGAAGCCCATAAGAACAGAAGAGGCAGGCCTGGAACAGGCGAAGAGAAGAGGCAGGCCTGCCAAGAACGGTTTGGGGGCGGTCCAAAATGCCTAACGTTGCTGGCTGGCCTGCCAGCTGCCGAGAAGGGTTTGAGGGCTGCCGAGGTGGCAGGTTCCGGAGGCTCAGTTCTAAGGCTGCAGTGCGGGCTGCACGTTCCAGAGGCTCCCTCCCCAGGCTCCCACCTGACGCAGGCAAGGCTGCGATGCAGGAGTAGGCCAACCACAATGCACCTGCACACATGCCTTTGGAAGGGCTTGGAAGGGTTCTGCAAGGCTTAGCTAACTGCTTCACCCTGCGGTGTCCCAGGCGCCTCCCCGCCTAGGCTTTGGCTATAGGCCGGGGTCGGCGGATAACTAGGGTGGAGGCCATCGCGTGACGTCCTCGTGACAGTCGAGAGTCGAGAGACCCATGGTGTACAATCGGTCAGACCTCGTGACGATAAGATCGAAAGGAGTGAGGCATTGGAAGTCGTCGATGTGAAAAAAGCATCCGAGGCCCGTTTGGGGCTGAAGACTTGTTGGCCGGTGGAGATACCACTTGCAGCGATGCATCGTGTTGCTTGTAAATCTTGCTTGGGACTCTCAGACTTACATATAAATCGGCATTTCATATCCTAATGATCCTTTGGTGTTTTTTCACCAACGAGCATCTCCGGACAAGAGGGGAGAGCCCCCTCAAGGAATATGCTGCCAGGGCCTGTTGCTTGTTTTGGGTTCCATATTCTGTGCACGATGCACAAGAAACATTCACCATTGGAGGTTTGAGGATGGATGGTCATATTGGTGCTTTTTTGCGTTCCAGTCTAGCGGCTAGCGTTGGAAATTGACGGAGAAAGGCAACATCGATTTTGAACATTGGCGTCTAAATCGCCATCCGCTCGACGAGGTCAGCGTAAGGCCACCAGTGCCAGTCCGAACACATCCTCCTCGCAAGAGAGAGACGCCGAGAGCTCAACTTGTGTTTGGAGTGAACAGACAACTGTGGCCATAGTTCAGTTTTTACATACTGTTACACACTGGAAGGACGGTTTGAGAGAACCGTGTTAGCAGATGCAAACTAGTTGTTCAGAAGCAGAGTTAGTTGTTTGATCTTAAATGCCTTCCCCCAACCTTCACCGGAACAAGCTACGAATGTTCCAGGGCCAATGTCTCAGCCATTCTTAGCCTGTTGCGAGGGCCATTGGTCAGGCAGAGCATTTAACAGACTCTGGTTCGAGGTCCTTCTTTGTGTGTTTTTGTCACGTCATCATTCAAATGGAGAGCCATTTGCCGTCAGCTGAGAATTTTATGGGTGCAATTTGGAGGCCCCGATGGAAGCGAAAGTCAATTCTCTATATATATATATTTATAGTATATATAAGGGGGGCCGTTGGAGGGCTGATAACAGGTGGTTCTTCGTATCGAGGTCAGGCGAGCTCGCAGCCGCCTTCTTGCCGTATCCTGTAGGGCGCTCAGATGACCGGTGGTGGCGGCTTGCCACCGTCCGTGTCAGGCGATGACACAGAATGAACAGGAAGGCCGCAGATCACATTGCTATTTTTACTAGTAGCGATGGCCTCCACCTAATAGCGTCCTCAAATGTCCTACTTTAAGCATCGGCGGATGCTTGACTTGGACGTTCTCCTCAATCAAAGAGGACTTGGCCGGGGTCATGTCTGGGACTGAGGCAAGCGAGGTCTCCTCCTTGCAGAGTGGTTGGAGGCCGAAACACTCATGGCGTTACTCACCCCGCATGTGACCCGAGTTCCAAAGAGCATGGAAAGTCAGACATGGGAACACTATGGATCATGAGTTTCTCATGTAGAGTTCTTTTGCTCAAGGGCTTTTCATGAGTTTGAACGACATCCCATTTCACCATATTTCACCTATGGCTGGCTTGTGTCCGAGCCATTCATTGTGGCAAAGAAAGGACGTCCTCTCAATGAGTTTTGCCGCCCGGGATTTTCACTTTATGATGTCTTCATTTCTTGCCGTTTCAGGCAAGTGGCCCTCGAACCAAACTTGAAGAAACAGCAACTAGCCGCACTTGCCTTATGCAAGCACGGTCTCAGAGACCTGGCCCACTCGAACATGTCGATCGAAACTGCAGCCTGCCCGTGTAATTGTGTATTTGTATGTATTTGTCACTGGAACATCCCGAATCACCGAAAATCAAGGAAGACACAGGATGAGCAAACAGACGGCTATTAATTTGGATCGGCCGACCCTAAACGCCTTGCAACCTGGACCTTCAAATAAACTTGCCCCACTGTTTTTGGACGTTCGCTTCTTTCGCGCTTTTGCTTGTTTGTGTCTTTTGATAAATGCCAGGAGAGGCAAGGGGACCCCTCTCCGTGAACACATGTTTCAAGAGGAGCCATCCCCAGGACTGGTGAGCCATTTTGGGGGAGTCCGTCATGTTCATGTAAAATGTAGCAGGCACCTGAGGCCATTATCATCCATTCTAGTGTGTCATTTTCTAGTCCAGAATGCCTTACACTCTTTGCCAAGTCTTACCTTCACCAGGGTGTGGCCATTGGAAGCCAGAGCGTGTTTCCAGGGTCATCGAGAGACGGACACTCACTCACTCACTCACCCACGCACTCACTCGCTCACTCACTCACTCACTCATGAATTGGACACTCGAATCGTTCCAGTGCCCTCAGGGAAGACTACTGGAAGGAGCCCAGCCCGATGTTCACTCAAGGCCTCCTTTCCCAGGCGGGCTCTGCTTACCAGGTATTTTTGGGGCGGACCTGTTTTCATTGCTGGAAAGGATTACCATCTATTATTTAGATTAAAGATCCTTTCCGAATAATAGAACAAATAGATGGGCTTGGGATAGAAAGGATGTATGATCATTCCCAAATATTCCCAAACAGTTTACTGTTCTGTGGAAAACAAGGCTGGCCACGATAGCCTTGTCCGGGCCTTGTTTGGGTCTGTGTCTTGCGGTCCGGGCCTTGTCCACGCCTTCGCAACAGGGTCTGTGTGGTTTAACAAGGAATTGATGTAAAAGAATTCAGCTGAAACTGTTTTGGTTTGTGCTGAAATAATTCAGTGTTTTGCCTGTTTGTTCAGAGACCTTTACCACATCTGGACAGCTTGGCCGATGCAAATATGTCCTCCCCTAGAACGGACCTGGGAGGTTCTTGCTAACCTGCGCGAGACGATCGTCACGTTCGAACTCGCTCCCAGGATGTGAGGTATGCCACCGAGTGTTCACAATGCAAATGCGTCATCAAGGAGGCATCGCTACCACCCTCTGGACACATCAGCGCTGAGGCCACGACGCGTTTGCGCAAACGAGCGCCCGGTCGCACATGGATGACATGTGTTGTTCAGAAAAGAAAACAACAACAACAACAACAACAACAACAACAACAACAACAACACTCTGACCGTGATCTTCCTTTCCATAGCCACCTCCCAGGAAAGCACGTCATGATCAAGTCAACATGGCAACGACATACTATTGTGTTGTTATGGTGTGTTTATTTTTTTTCTTGAAAACCATAGAAGAAACTCCCAGCAGGAAGGGTTACGGGAAATCCACAACTCGTAGCTGTCTAGCCACTTCATGTCATGTAAAAGCCAGGAGCTTCAACAAGCACATCGGCTTCGGTGGCTGGATTCTTTGATCAAACAAGAAGAGAAGGCTGCTGAACTCCGTCAGCCGAGCTTTTAGAAGAGGGCGCTTTTGAATGGTTGATGATGCGCCTTCGTGCAGAGAGGGCGAGGACGCGCTGAATAGACCTGAAACATTTCACAACATATCAACATATATCAACCAGTATCAACTATAGACTATAGTTATATATATAAACAATAATGCAAATATAATGCAATGGTCTTTGAACCCTTCCAAACACCTAGGACTGCCTAGGACAGGTTGAAGGAGCATGAGTAGTGCTGTTCTTGTTGCAAGACATACCACGGCTGTGGCTGAAGGCCCTCAGATTTCCCCGCTATTCGAAGTCCACTGTGGCCAGCTTAGTCGAAGCACTTGAAACGATTAGACTCCAGATGGGTTGCTATGAATATGTGTGTGTGTGTGAATTCAATAAATGAGGCAAGTGAAGCACCCCTGACTTAATAAGACTCTTTTGGCTTGATTGGTAGCCGAGGTGAATGCAAGAGCCTTCAACCCCAAGATGTTCAACCAACATCCGTGGTCGCATAAATGGCTACCAGCACTCTGTCTGAAGTGATGCAGCTTTCAGTAGATGCAGATGCAGCACAATTCTGTGCTTTCGGTAATCCTGTGCCTTCTTGTGATTAGTCACTGCCTTCACTGTAGATGCAGCTTTGAACACTTTCTGACAAACTTCCGCAGAGATGTCTTGTATTTTTGCTGTCCATGGAGGTCCATAGTCCATGTCATGTTTGTTGCAAGTGGTGTATAATCCTTTTTGTGGTTGAAGGGGGTCGTATGGCGATCAGTCGGAATTGGACAAGAAACATGCCTTGGCGCGCAGCACATGCCGCAGTCCGTTTGGACGTCTGTTGTTTAAATCTCAGGCTCCAGACGTCTGCCGCCAAGGCCGCCAGATGTGTGGGAAGGAGACGAGGGAGGGAAGAAGCCAAGCGGTATTGAGCTCCGGAAAACCTGATATTTCACTATCCAAGCGTTGACCATTCGAGGAAAAATGGACACTTCCATTTATACCCAAAATATAAGGACTTGAGAGTGAGCGGGCAGGAATTATTAAGCAGCGACTTTGGATTTGGAAAACCCATTGTTCTTTGTGGAGCAGTGAGGCTGCAAACCTTGTTTGTGTCACTGCGAGGCAATTGCAATGAGAGGAATCTGCAACGTGAGAAAACTAATTCGACAGGTTTTCCGCGCAAGATACCCGTGGACGATTAGCTCTAAATGTTCGGCTAGACATGGCTACATGCAATTCTAAAGTCCAATGCATCACATTTGATGTCGATATCCTTGGGTTGATTCTGATCGCTAATTGCGATCTTAATTAAACCCATTCAACAATGAAGAACAAATATATATATATATAAATATTGTATGTAATGGTATATATATAATTAGAAAAAAATAACATATATATTTATATATTTAAATATATATATATATATTTATATTATTTAACAAAAAATAAATATTTTAAATAATGTAATATTGAAATATTGCTATAGTTTTATTATTAAATGAATAATTAATATTTATATGGATTGCATTTAAAAAGCCTTATTTAAAAATATAGATAAAGGATAATAAATAGGAAAAAGAAGAAACAGATAAAGAACAGGAAATAGAAGAACTAAGACGAGAAGAAGAAGAAGAATGAAATAGAATGCATAATAATAAGAAGAAAAATACATAATAAGAAGAAGATAAATAAACAGGAAATATAAGAATTTGATAGGATAAAGAAATCGACGGAGATTTTTGCGTTAGTATCGTTTTAAACGATGATTTATTTCTTGATTATTTGTTTATTTAACATTTACATATTTTGAATTAATTTTTATATCTTTTTTGATTATATCGTTTTGAAGATTTCTAAGAATAAAAAATGGAAACAATTATAGGAATCTAGCAATAGCAGTAATAATTCTAGCATCTTAGTAATCTGCGTACGTTAAATATTTCTCGCAGTTTTTGCAGTTTATACGCCTTTATGTTTAATATCCCTGTGGTTTGAGTGGGGTTGAAATTTAAAGGAGATTTAGAAGCGGATCTCTATGGAATTACGACGAATATATCATTTTGAAAAAAAAAAAAATATTTTGGAAATTAACTATATTCGATCGTAATTAAACATTATCTATTTATTGGAAGGATAAATTTATTTATAATTTATAATATTATTAGATTTATATATATATTGAATGATAATAATTTTTGGATAATAAAATTAATTTTATATATATAATATTATTAATATACAATAATTTTGAATTTTTGAAAATATTGTATTATATTTAGCAATTAATATTTTCATTGATAGATTTATTTAAATATATATTTTGATGTATCTTTATTTATATTTATTTGATATATTTTGTTTTGTTTGTTTTATATTTTGGTCGGTATTCTAGAATTAATTGAACATATAAATAATTTAGAAGGTTATTCTTATAGGTTTCTATAGGAGAAAATGCATAATTTGTGGAATAAATTTGCGGAATGTAGGTGTGCTTCGTATTGGTTTTTAAAGGTAAATTTCGTGTATAGATGGATTAGATTGGTATTTGAATTACAACAAATTGCTAGAATTTTTAATTAAACCATTATTGGTAAATGATTAGGTTTATACAAAAAGGGAATTATTGAGAAATTGCGGAGGCGTCGTGTATTTCTTTAAAAATTGTTTAGGGTCTTGGGGAAAGATAATGATGGTTTGTAATTGTTTAATTTGATATTTGCTTGCAAATTCCAATGGGCAAGGAAAATGAAAATGAATTGTAACGACATGGATACAATGGATATTTGAAATTTGTTTATCGAAATTATGGGCATATTGATTTTTGAGGTCAAATATTTAATCGTATTTGGTCTGGCACACCGGCTCTTGAGCTACAAGTGTGTGCACCCTGTTGGTACCATAATCAATGGACCTATTTTCGCGTAGGCCCCGCGTAGGCGCTCGCGGAAGTAGCGCATAGGCAAGAATCTATTGATTGCTGCTACTGCTTGGCTGCTGCTTTTGCTGCTTGGCTGCTGCTGCTGCTGCCTCTTGTTTTCTGCTGCTTGTTTGTTGCGTGTTGTTTATATGTTGTTTCCATATTGTAATTGGATCGGCTTGATACAAAATCTATTTGGTCATCGGTAGCAAAACTATAAAAGTCTTATAAACAGGAACCTGATGTGACCCGGTCGCAACTTGTTGATTATATAGCTCTTTCCGAGTCACCTGATGTGACTAAAATTGGTGACAATATCCTGCGTAGGCAACCCACGTAGGCCCCTAACAAAGAGAATCCCTCGCGTAGGCATTTGCTTGAGAGGGGTAGGTATAGACCCAATGCATAAGCCCCACATCCCAAAAAAAACGCAACTCAATTAGGGTTTAGATAGTCGGAGTGATGGAATGGGGAGTGGGGAATGGTTGTTCGTCTCGATTGCAAGCGTTAAATATAAGATATGGCAAATATATTTTGGATATTACATTTTCGTCAACAAAACATTCCAATGGTCGCGATCTTAAAATTGGATCGTCAAATTTGCACCAGGAAAGCCTTCCCGTAAATTTTGCCGGAATACGAAATCATATGATTTGGTTGCTTTCCAACTTGCTTGGCTCGGAATTCCCAGAATTCAGGCTATTCATTGGATGACGTAGATTACAGATCTTTCGCCGTAAGAACGGGTGTAGTTCGGCTCGAATTGGACGCCAAGCCGTTGCATTGATTCCGCCGGGCGCATTCTCAATTAATAGCATGTTTTTGTTTCTTGTAACGATAAGATTTGGATTCTTTATTCGATTGGATATATTTCGTTCTATTTTTAATTTATATATATTTATTTTATATATAATTTAAATATATTTATATCGAAAAATTATTTTGTTATTAATATATAAAAAATCAATATATCTATATTTTGAATTTATTCTATTTTTGTTAATTTTTATATCTTTATAATTACGATTATAAGATTGAATTATTTTCTGCAATTATAGATATACTATCATTATGAATATATTATATATATATAATATAAGCAATATTTTAATTGATAATTTTTGATTTTAAATATAATTGAATATATGAATAATGATTTATGAAATATATGTAATGTAGAATTTATTGTTATTTTAATTCTAATATATATATATCGAAATAAAGAAAGAAATTATAATATTGTATATGTTCGATATATATATATTATATAACATAAATATTTATTAAAAATTATTTAGCATATAATTTCTATTATTTCGATTTCTCAAATATTTAGAATTATTATGAATAACCGAAAATATTTGTCGATTATATGATAAATTATTAATTAAATAAATATATTAAATTATATCTACATTTATATTAAATATCATATATTCGAAATAAAAATCTAATATTATATATATAAAATATGCGAATGGATATTTATCTTATATTCATGATGATTCATAAAATTATCCGATATTCCATTCAGAATCAAAAGGCCGCGCGGCCTTTAGGAGCATTTGAACCAATATATGGCGGTCATCACACATAATATATTTTGTTCATATTGTATATATCTATCATTTCATTTCCATTAATATTCCCCATATATTTCATGCTTTTAACTTTGGATATAGATGATTAAATTTAAGGATATTAAAGGTGTTGTGCATCAAGCTTCGAATTGATGCCGCGAGGTCAAAATGGTAGCCGAACTAGCCACGTTCGAAACCTTTATAACTTGCTCAATTATGAAATATTGATCTAATGTTATTCTTACGATTGACAGAGGTTCATATTTGGACATATTGCGCAGGCGGTTCAACTCTTCTCTTATTGGCCGCCTAATGCGCTGCTCGTCGATGTTATGTACGACGAGGTTGATATTCGTCTCCCATGGTCTCATAAGGCGCCGCTCCGGCATACGACCCTGTGGGGATCATATTTACCATAAGATTGTGGGTCAGCGTTTCAGATTCAGCTTGTTCTTCATCTGGTGGATCAAAATCCGGAGGTCGTCTGCGAGGGCGTCTTCGCCGTCAGCCTGGTAGTCGTGGTAGAGGAATGATCATCATCGGTGCCCTTAGATTGGCCTCGTGGCCTGAAGGTCCAGGTGCCAGTCTCGGTCTCCTGTTGTGTTGGCTGGGTCACATCAAGATAGGAGATCGTTATTTCCAGATCGGAGGATATGGGTCAAGGTGATATTATGCAACCTGGTGATCCAATCTTGATATAGAATCAATGTTAAATTATTCAAAATAACATCTAAATTTTGGAATTGCATATCAACATCTTCATGAATTAGATATATATATATATATCCGGCTCACGAAAGGAGGTGCTTTGAAGTCCAAGCCCAAGCCACTGGCGCATGTAGGTCAAGAATTGCAATGAAGCGATACAATTGATCTGCAATGAAATATATGTCTGAGAATTCCTAGAAATGGGCACAAATCTGTGTCGAAAGCACGTGCTATTATAGAATTATTTCTGGCACGAACGTGGGTGCAATATAAATCTGCGGGATATGGATGGCTCTGGATGGCCAAACAAATGTTTCTGCCATACGTGGGGTCCATGCCATCCTCATCAAGGATCAACAATGATTTCGTGGCCTTGTCAGGCATAATCTGCATAGAGACCTGAAAGTCCTAGGCCGATGACGCGGGGACCGTGGAGGTTGACGCGTCTCCAAAATATTCTTTCTTGATTTAATTGTAAAATAAGATCGGATATGCGGCACGACGAAAATGAGGCTAGAGTGCAAAATCCATCGTGAAATCATTGAAGCAATGGTTGCAAACGAATCGTCCAGGCATCATATCACGATCAGGTCTGAATATAAAGCTCGGTGATCTGTTTGCCTGATGCTCCTTACCAAGGTGGGTTGTGAGGGCCTTGCGGTCCAGCTGAATCTGGTTGATTGGACAGGCATATGATTTGGTTGGTGGAGGACAATCTAAGACATCTATTTCATGGTAAGGAGATGTTCGAACAGATATTAAGTATACAAGGATTAATTGCATATTTTTAAAATGGTCGATTGAGAACGATCGGATTAGCAGGCATCCATATGGAACAAAAATTCGTGCGAAACGATAAAATTATTGGGATAATTTAATATATATTGTAAATACGCGAGTGAACGCGTGACCGCACATTTTGTTCCTGTCAGGGATGGTTTGAACCTGTAGGTTACGGACATCATCTAGCCTGGACACATGCTGACGAGGGTCT